AATTAATACTAATACTGTCCTCACAACAAGAAAGTTTAAATAATCATATATGTATCGCAAATAAAATTTAGAACAAGAGTAAGCTTTCACTTACCTAAAGATGCAATCTTAAGAGCGAACACTTATAAACGAACTAGGAAGATTTACCCGAGAAAAAATACTTGCCATTGCCCTGTTGGCAGAGATTCAACATACGCCGGACGTAAAAAATTTGTGGATAGACTAGAAAACTTTTTCACAATTTCCCAAGATTAGTTCCGGAATTAAATAAGCCAAAATATTTCGAATGTGCGTAAGTTGAACACGATACCTTTGTGCATCTCAAGCGAAATTGTATGTAGGAGATGCAGGTTACCAGATCCCATTCACTCCATCCTTCTCTCTATTTATTCTACATTAAAGTCTTGGGGCCAAATCGGCTCAGATGATCGACATCTGGACCAGCCTCACAACAAAAGTTGCCCAAAAAGATCGCGCCCACAAGGCGCCTCGAGGCCTGCAAGTCTAGCCCAATGGTAAAGATCCACTCTGATGCATTGGTACCATCGTATCGCAGTTGGAATCCCATTCGGACAAGAGCATAATTCTGAAAGACGTCATCAGACTGCTGATGGGATGGCACTCTAGCATTTGAACCCAATAAACCTCTTAAATTTCAGTACACTGTGTATTATAATATGCATCGGGAGGCAAAACTTTTTGCATGACTTTACTTATCCTTTCACTTCGGGGTTCCTAGAAATCCCGCTTTTCTTTACACAAAACTTATTGTATTTTGGCCAAAAACCATCTAAGCAGAGACTATAAACTTTCTTTAGACAGGAAAACATTAACTTTTTTATTAATTCATCGTGCTGACTATAATTTCTCAAGTTGATTGTCCGATTCAGCTTAATTATAGTGTATATCTAACAGAGGAAATCGACGTAAGTCGTTTAATAGCTTAGAGTACCAAACTATCGTGAGCAGAAGTGGGGAGGAGCCCAATAAAGATTCTCCTTGCCCCAGTTCGGCCATAATCGGATTAGATAGTTCGCTTATTCTGCTCAGACTTAAGATAGTTATCAGTCGCAATGGTACCAGAACAGGTTGAATAATGCTTGAGTCCGGACTCCGCATCAGGGCTCTGTCAGTTGGAAATCTGGTTAGAGTCCAGTTCGCTATGAGGCTGATAGAGATCTAAGCCAGACTCTTGCATCGGACAACTTTGATATTCGTATTAAAGTAGGGTTTCGAGACTCATCTCATTACAACTTTGATATGCCCATTGGTTAGGTTACATGCATTATCAACTGGCTTTAGCGATAAGGCCCGTTTGCCGGTGTATGAGAAAATGAAAAGAAAAGTGTAGAGATTCACGAAGCAACGGTTGGTCGGACGACTTAGTATAAACACAAAAGGATTTGGAGATGGTGATGATGGAGAATGCCGGTTGCTGACTAGGCATGGGAAATTGTGAGGCCTTAAGAAAAGCTGACAAGAATGGAGGGTTTATGTTTGACTTGATAACGACGTCCTGGGCTAAACATGACTGTAGCAAAACGGCTCAAAGATTCTTGTAAAAAGCTGTAGTGTGTCCAGTGCATGATGAGTGGTCAACATGACGAGTTAGGTAAGGCAATTTGGGCAGGAGAACCTGACAAATTACCGGTTTCATCTTGCCCACCGTGCTCTGCTTCCTCAGCGGGGGTACCAACCCCAGTGATGGATTCGCTCGTCTCATTCTCCATCTGGACACACCGCAGGTGGAACAGGCGCCATGTTTCACCCTTGACTGTCAGTCTCGCCGGACTGTCCTATAGTGTGTACATAGGCATGTGTGTGTGTGTGTGTGTGGACAATGTCACTACTATATAATTCTGGTATCTTCCGGGTCAGGATCTTTAGGTCAGAACTCATGCTTCATACGGCCGGCACAGAATCACTCATATGTGACGCATTCATTTGCTTTGAACGAGATGAAGACATTCCGTCTCTCTCTCTCTCTCTCTCTCTTTAACCGCACTCCCTCCACCCACTTCTGCCCACCTACATTAATTGCTTGTCATACAGCCTGTGGCTCCTGTCAGGATAACAGGTGCTGCGTTGTGAGACTTAACGCATGAAAGTGACCATAATAACAATGCGAGCAAGGGTCTAACAGTTGGATAAAATGCTATGAAAGGTCGACAAAAGGCGAAGAGGGCAAAGAAAACTTTACATGATCGGGGGTTCAGAGGTGATCGAAGGAATGTGACAAAGCTGAAGGAAATACTTGTTGGAAAGAGGAAAGTCTTTGGGATACCCTTATGGTTACCTATCAACTCAAGGGATCCATGGAGGCAAAATAATGAGCATGGATATAAAGTGGTACATGTAAAGATTAATAATAGATATGCATTTATACTACTATGATACACTCCGAAGAGTAGCTAGATTGATGAGTAGCTGGTTGGCGGGATTTCGCTCATCAAAGTCTATCAGTTCCACTATTCGGATCAAGCCTCTTTTTAGTTAAATAGTGCCTCTTTCATGGTCTATTACAAATGTCGTTAGTTGTCTGGCTCATTGCTGCTCTAAGCCTAAGCACCGACCTGTTATCCGAGAGGATTTTCGGTGTCACATTAACGCCCGAAGCCTTTCATGCAAAATCTACAAATAGTTGGATCCTGAGAAGACGACATTTTTTTGGTGAATGTTTCGTCGAAACACATTGCTTTGGTTGACAATGTTTCTTGCGAATGTGAGATTGTATTCAATTCTCTGATGCCTCTCTAAGTTTTTATTATCTTCTTTTCCAACGGATTTTCCATCACACATTCTCCATCCGATAGCCCAAAGCTAAACACAGTTAATTGACATTTAAAGCGCATTGTGCCCATTAGCGTATTATTGTGAGGGAAGTACAACAGAGTAAACATAACAGTTATACGCATCTTCGTCTGGGGCATTAGAGGTTGACTGACACTTTTTACTCGAGAAACCGTATGAAAGCTACAGGATTATGTCTTCTCAACTCCCTCCCACCCAAAAACAGAGAACAGTCATCGCTGCAACCCCATAATCATCTCCATTTCGACATGGCCAACTGGCCATTCGAGAGAGGATCATATTTCTTCTCAAGTGGATGATAAATGCACTAAAAGTAATTTCACCTTAGAACTCTCGTCTTCAATGTCTATTATCTTACAGATGCATTGTATAGCGGCTTCTGCCAGTCAAATAAGCGCGACAAGAAAATCCGCCCTTATAGTGGGTTTAGAGATGGTTAGAGTCTACCACAATGCTCAGATTTACCCCGGCGAGCCACAACCGAGGCATGTATTTCATGAGCACATCCCTGTACATCCTTTGATTGCAAGATTTACCTTCATTAACTCAATGTACACATGCAAAATCGTATAATTTTCAACAAGTTTCAAATGTAAGAACAAACGTTTGCGATGAAATCTGAGACTGTGGACCCAGGGATACCCCCAACAGGTTCGGTCTATCGTATGATTTCAGTCTAAGTGTATACGATAACTTCTGTAGCAAAGCGCTCCTATTTATGATTGGCATTAGTCAATGCATTCAGGATTCGGCAAGAGAAGGCCGAATGAAATAAAGGAGACTGTAGAGATAATGGACACCATAATTGATTCCGAAGATGGGCTGAAAAATGGTGTTAACAATAATAATAGCAATTCATTTACAAGAATTTTTATCATATCTATCAATATTAATTCATATATAATGATTATAATTATTAATATTTATCATCATTAACATCAGCATGGTCGTCATTATTATCATTAGTCAACTTCATCTGTCCCACCGCAACAGCCATCATTTATGAGAGGAAATATGGCACTCCTACTCACATAATCTACCAACTGTTGCTATCCTTATGAGACATAACATGATTTGTCCGGTTGATTCATACTTATCTTTGACGATTGCAGTTGCTTGAAAGTGAGGTATGAAAATGCGGTGGATGCGGTTGGAGCGGTTTTTTCACAAAAAGGAACTACAACTTTATCCTGCAATTCTTACGCGTGTTTAGATGTTGTGACACATGCATTGTATGCATTTAATGCTCCTGAGTCATGTGAGTTGTGAGATCTCCAACCAGATTCTAGACTATTCGAGCCCTCTGTTGCTGGTGCAAAATATTCGGCAGATTTCGAAAATTGTGTTGGCCTAAACACTTGTGAGAGTTGAGCTCTATTGCTGGCAAAGCAAGTGGCCTTAGAGCTCAACAGATTGAACATCCAATTGCGTTTTGTTGAGATAAAATACACGTCGTCCCTAAAGTTAGTCGATATGTTAGAGCGAATGAGATCAATTATTTTTATTTGGAATACATACAGTTAGAATTTGTTTTACCACGTTTTAGAAAAGGCAAAAGCCCAATTTTCTTGCAATATGACTTTTCATTTCGTAGGAAACGTAGGTTTGAAGAAATTAATCAATTGGTCTTACTGCAAAATGAAGCAGGATTGCCTTAAAGTGAAGTCTATCGAATATTGCGAAGACTTCTTAGGCTCCCTGTCCTTCGACCTCGATGAGCTCGTGACAAGCTTTTGTCTGCAACGTGACGTACATTGTCAGAGTGAGAGATAATAAGTTATAGGGTCGACAGGTGCAATCAAATACCCTTCAAATACAAAAATTTCCTAATTGAATTTGGCACGTTTATTCGCAAATTGTAGTATTGAATGGCACAATGTAGTATAATATTGTATAGTGTATCATAGTAAAGTATAGAAAAGTATAGAATAAAATAATATAGTATATCATAGTATAGTGCAGTATAGTATAGTATAGTATAGTATAGTATAGTATAGTATAGTATAGTATAGTATAGTATAGTATAGTA